CTCAATTAGGAGAGTCAATGGTCACCCATCTCTCTCCATTCATAATGTGATCTATCTGTGAAGACTGTATGCACATTTGTTGAAGTGTGATGCATATTGTATATATTCTGAAAGTGTGTTTTCAGAATGAAAATGTTCCTGTTAAGAGTGTGTATACCTGTTCAAGTGTGTAATGTAACTGAGATGTGTATATGGATCATGAAGGAACAGCCATGGCTCTGGAGGCAAACTGTAGAGAGCTGAGAGTTTCAGATATTGAAGATGTTTGAGATGACACCGTGACCACTAAACACGTCCGGCAGTTCCCTCCTAAACTAAACCAGATATCAAAATAAACATCAAACTCAGAAACAGCCAACGAATTTACACAGATGTTGAAGAAAGTAGAGAAATAATGATGCTGATGTTGATGAGGCTCACCAGTCCCTAAGTGCTCGGGTTAGTTTGGATTCTCTGTATGGCACATGCTGGGATCCTGCAGAGCTGAGGGCAAAAATCACCTAAAAAAGGATTGTGATTTTCTGTATTTTGCATTTTAATATTTTATATAGTAATACTTTTAATAGTAATATATATTATAATACTTTTTATAGTATCATATACTTTAAAATCTCTCACAATTTAATGTGACATGACATCTTCACTTCCCTAAATGGAAAACTATGTAACCCTACAGATCATTTCCTGCATATGCAGCCAAAACATTGATATGATTAAGCTAGGGCCCTTAGACTGATAAATAGTCACAGGAGTACGTCTTGAGGTACTCAAAACAAACTCTGCTCTTCAAAAATGCCCTTAGTCTGACCGGGACAACAGTGATAATAGATAGAACATGCTCTTTTTTGCTGACATGTTTGAGGTATTACTAACATTTCATAGCATAGCGTTTCAGCATCTTGGTCTTTTGCAGGTTTTCATGTTGCATTTAAAGTTCTCCTCACGTCAGGAACCACAGAACTGCGACACTGATGCAACAGTGGGAGAGAAAAAAGAAGAGTGAACATTAAAACTGAAACTCTATTATTTGTAACCCAAACCTGTGTATTTAAAATAGCCTATATATGACAACACTGGAATGTTTTATCAAATGTTCTTGCAAATGACTGTTTGTCAGCACTGATATTCAGAAAAGCAACACAATTACAACAGGTTTTCGTTTCAGTTAATATTGAACAAACTGTTTTGTATTGAACAAACTTAAATTTTGCTCCGACAACAAAAACAGTTACACACAAAGCAATGTCTGTTGTGCCTCTCTGAGCAACACACACATTTTTGAATGAATCAGTGTTTGAACGAATCGACTGATTCAATACTTTAATGACTCATTCATAAAGATGATTCGTTTTTCTTTAGGTAAACATAAAAAATAAAACTTTCTAAAACTTAAAAAAATAGTCCCTTGGTTAAAATAGTGGTCATTATTTTAGAAAAACAATATTTTAATATTATAATAGATCTGACACAGAAACAATTCGGAGTAACATATAAACCATTTCTGATCTTGCCAGAACCACCTAACAAAAAGCAAAAAAATCATGTGAGTTTCATAAATCTTTATTAATTCACAAATATGGTGCTCACCACAAGTATGCCAAGAATGTGTACTTCACACAGAAAATACCTAATATTTCAGTTATGCCAAAAGGAGTCTCCTATGCTATCATCTTACCAGAGTGCTTTTGCTGGCTGTCGAAACTCCCTCTTCAACCATTAAGATGGTCTCACAAACTGTTTTCCGAGCCAGCTCATCTGAAAGCTGTCCAAGAACCCTTATAAAAACAGCAAAAAGAAGAGCTAAAACCAGAAAAGCATCTTAGGGTGGTTTAAGATGTTAGGAGTAATCTACCTAGTATGTTGTTTGCAGTTTTGCAGGCTTTTGAGTTTTAAATAAGCTTTGCTTTTTCAATAATTCGCATGGTCATACTTATATATCAACACAGGATTGTATTTTCAACCATTCCACACTCTTTTACGCCCAGACGTTGCCGAAGCACCAGTCTGGAATGCTTGTGCACAGGGCCGTTTCTAGGCATAGGCGAGCTAGACGGTCGCCTAGGCCGCGACCAGCTGAAGGGGCGCCAATGAGCGCACGTACTGGCACTTTTAGCAGGGTTGTGATAAAGAGTGGCACGGTCACCCTGAAATATGACTGCCGCCCCCACTAGATCCCCCAACATTATTGGACTAGAGTACTGTCAATCTGACGATGCCTGTATGCCACTGGATCAGAGTGCTGTCAGATGCTGCCTGGTTGTTGCATGCGAAGTTTGCATTTGGAGCGCTCGACAACGCCACTAGATCAGTGGGCTCTGTCAGTGCTTTGGCAAGGTAACACTTTTTTTTTGCCATGCAATAAAGCTAAGTTCAAAGGCCAATTTCAAATATTGGTACAGTAAATAAAGTGCACAAAATCAGTATTTTGTTTAGGCAGTATTTGTGGCACATTTGTCCAAAAGGTGTGCGTTTTTTGCGCCAATGCATTGTTAAAGGATCAGCGTGTCATGTAATATTCCCATATAAACTTTAACATCCAATTAAAAAATATTTGTATAGTAAAATTCGCTAATTCACGAGATCAATACATCCTTTATTAGACCGCTTTGTCGAGTTAAATGCATCCTTACGGAGGTGTCGAAATGCTGAATCAATTCATTCGCGTCCAACAGCGGTTAATGGGAGCAGCGTCATAGAGGGCAGAGCGTCACGTTATTTAAAGGGGAAGTTCACACCTTAATGAGTAGCAAAGGATTAAGTAGCTGCACTGGTTACTTTTATGCAACTGATCAAGCTGTTATATGTAGTTTGGGGTAACAAAGGGTTTGACTGAAATAATAATGCAATAACTGACACTTTAAATCAATGTTTCAAGAAACAACAACAACATTTTTTTAAACAAAAAACAGATAAAGACAAAAAAAGTAGCCATTGATAATATCTAAACATGCATCCAAATTCAAATGTAATAAAATAAATGTATGTGTGATTTATGTGTAAATTATGTGCAATGTCTTAGCTACTAGAGATTGCTACATAGGGCTTATACAGCATCTAGTGGCAACACAATGATATTACAGATACTAAATTGTGCAATGTTTATCTTAACAGTCAATTTACAAATAATGCATTCAGATTTGTGGAACTCAATGCACTGAATCTCCACAAATTAGTGTCGTTACTATGACAACCAATTTGAATGTGACAAGCAACTGGTGTCTGAAAAGAATATACATATATGTATATATATATATGTGTATATGTATATATAAATATAATTGGGGGGCAATGGGGATTTCGCCTAGGGCGTCAAATTGGCTAGAAACGGCCCTGCTTGAGTGTGACAACTTATGGCTGTTCCTCTTGACCCCCTGTACCTCTCCTCCAGCAGTGTCCTTTACTGCTTTACAAGGTGCTTGGAGGAGGAATGTGTGCATCATAAAATGGGACACATATCCAATGGGTCAATACACTGTCAGAAATATTGCACAATTTGAGCCTTTACATACAGTGTGTACCAGGGATTGTGTGAAACAAAGAGGGAGAGAGAGGAATGATGGGACACAGCTTAGTGCTGCCATTGCCAGCTGTGTCAGTGTCAAAGGGCAGAGATTCCTGATGCTCTGTGTCTCTGTGTCTTATAGTCTAGTTTATCTGTCACTTCACCCGACATTTATCCTTTTTCTAGAACTAGCTGCAATGGGTAAAAACATAAATCTGTTACAATGTTATAAAGGTATAATCATTATTATTGGATATAAGTATAATCCAATATACGTCTACTTTAGGTGGAAAAACTATAAAAATGTATATCCTTTATTCAGTGGTTCTTAAAATAATTTAAAATTAGACAAAACAAGCATTGAAATAAACTATAACTAACTAAAAATAATAAAAATAGCAAACTTTGTGTAAATTAATACAATCTTAAAACTCTATTGGCATTTTTATCACGAATATACATTTTTGTAGTTATTACAAGCTCTAAAATATTTTATCAGGTAAGAATTTGCAAGTAAAATAAATAAATCCTTATCCTTAATCCATATTCATTATTCACTAAATCATGAATGACTGGGGGGAAATATGTAAATTCGTTGGTTAAAAAGAGTGGGAACTCTAAAGTACATTCGACTCTTAAAACTTCTGGAATTCTGAAATGTAATTATTGTGTCGTTACTAGACAATGGCGTCTCGGCCTTGGAATCAAAAAGGTTGAATTATGTGTATATGTATATATAAATATAATTGGGGGGCAATGGGGATTTCGCCTAGGGCGTCAAATTGGCTAGAAACGGCCCTGCTTGAGTGTGACAACTTATGGCTGTTCCTCTTGACCCCCTGTACCTCTCCTCCAGCAGTGTCCTTTACTGCTTTACAAGGTGCTTGGAGGAGGAATGTGTGCATCATAAAATGGGACACATATCCAATGGGTCAATACACTGTCAGAAATATTGCACAATTTGAGCCTTTACATACAGTGTGTACCAGGGATTGTGTGAAACAAAGAGGGAGAGAGAGGAATGATGGGACACAGCTTAGTGCTGCCATTGCCAGCTGTGTCAGTGTCAAAGGGCAGAGATTCCTGATGCTCTGTGTCTCTGTGTCTTATAGTCTAGTTTATCTGTCACTTCACCCGACATTTATCCTTTTTCTAGAACTAGCTGCAATGGGTAAAAACATAAATCTGTTACAATGTTATAAAGGTATAATCATTATTATTGGATATAAGTATAATCCAATATACGTCTACTTTAGGTGGAAAAACTATAAAAATGTATATCCTTTATTCAGTGGTTCTTAAAATAATTTAAAATGAGACAAAACAAGCATTGAAATAAACTATAACTAACTAAAAATAATAAAAATAGCAAACTTTGTGTAAATTAATACAATCTTAAAACTCTATTGGCATTTTTATCACGAATATACATTTTTGTAGTTATTACAAGCTCTAAAATATTTTATCAGGTAAGAATTTGCAAGTAAAATAAAACACCGCTTTAGTCGTGTTTAGTTTGTTTAGGAGTCAGCGCAGTGTGTGTGCTGTGCATTTGCGTGCCAACTCAGTCGCACATCTCCTCTGGTATTTCGTGAGGGTTGAGGATGCCAGGCACGGACATCTGCAGCTTGTGTTTCTCTTCCTGGGCCTGACGCAGCGACGCCTCCCTCTCCTCCAGGAATAGATCAGAGGTGTCCTCACCCGCAAATTCCTACAGGTACACAGAGAAATGTGTGAGCATTTGTGCGTTCTGCTTGCACTGATCGCTCTGCCAGGGCACTGTCATCTCTGCCATAATCTAATGCTATAATCACTCTCTCTCCATCTCACACACGCCTTCTGTTCTCGTACACTGCAGATGACCCATACAGTTACACCATACTTCACAATCCCTTAAAGGTCAAAGGGACAGCACACACTCTCTCTCACACACATTATCTATTTCCTCTATGTACACACTCTCAACTGCATAAACACTATTACTACTGATATCAAAATATTTGAATATGGCAAAGACAACATTTTGTTCCGTTATTATACTATTAACTATTATTATGGCTCTCAGTGTCCTTGTCATAGTAGGACAGACGGCTTGCAGCTCACCTTGATCTGTACAAGAAAATCCCTCAAGTGTTCTTTGAATGCTGGGATGTCTTGGTTTAAACTGAACAGGCCAGTCACAAATACTTTGACCTGGGCACTACAAAGAGAAAGAGAACAAACATAGTCAGACAGGAAACATTAATAAAACCAGACATAAACAGTCCTAACTATTACAAAAAGACTGTCACTGTGGAACAAAAACCTTTTTAATTAATCTGAGAGCAAGATGTCTATTGAGAGAACAAGCTTATACCTAAGAGATATGTTGTGTAATACTCAACCGAATGCAATAATCATCACACCAACTGCAATTGGTGTATTTATAGGCACTTGAGACATGTTCTTGACCTGCATGTTCTTAAATAAAATAAAAAGTAAAAATAAAAGTCCTTGTGTTAAAACATACAAGAACATACAAAGCTCCCAGTGTTTTTGGAAAGTGTAAGTTACACTTGTTATTAAATTATACAACAAAATATCAAATCATGCAAGTGACGTTTATATTAAAGATATAAAGCCGATGTGATTGTGACATTTTCATGTATTCATGTATCTCCAAAGCTCAAAGACTGGACAGATGCAGTCTCTGGAATGCACCAGCTCTTGTAAAGAATTGGTTAAGGTGCACTGTGGCATACTCACTCTTGTAAGTGTGGAAAAGCTGATTTGAGCAAGTTGGCCACATACTCCTGAATAAACACTTGGTTGTTGACTGGGCTTGAGGGGTTTAGAGCTGCACTGATTTTCCCTTCCTCAACAAGGTTAAACATGTACGCCAGAATAGAAGCATGCATAGTCAAACCTGCAACAAAAATATGCAGTTGCAAAATATGAAGAGGTTGAACAAACAGGAAAAAACGCATTTACAAATTTAATGATATTCAATAAAGTCACAAACAAATAAATGGATTTTATAAAAAAATTAGGTAACACTTTATTTTAATGTGTCCTTGTTACAGATGTTACTTGTACTTACTATTATAATAACAATTAATTATGCATAATTACATGCAAGTAACCCTAAGCCAAACCCTAACCTTATAGTAAGTACATGTAGTTAATTAATATTACTCAGTACTGAAATGCATAATTACACTGTTACAAGGACACTTTAAAATAAAATATATTACAATAAAATAAAAATTTGTTTTAGAAATTACAATTAATTTAAAATAATTTATCAAAATAAAGTCTTCAGTGTTCAGAAAAAAAAACAAAAAGAGTCTTTAAGAGCAAGAGAGCGAAGAGGGAGGCCAGAACTGACCAGCAGTATGTGATGTATCCGTGACGACAGAAAAGATGTGTTGTAGGATGTCACAGAAGTATGTCTGATAGAAGCTCTGCGCTGCCGCTTCTTCCTGAGCCACGTTCTGCAGCAGCGTGTAGAGAATCTGAAGGCCTGCATGACATTTTTCATGGTAGTTGTTGTATGCATGTTTTGATAAATGATTAGGGTAAATATCGCTGCGATAAATGCATTTGTGTTCTCACCGGTGTCTGCCACATTTCTCATAGTGTGTTTAAAAGCCCATATAATAGAGTCAAGCACAAGCTTAAACTGGGCTGGTGGGATTGCCAAGAATGCTGGGAAACAGTGAGAGTTCACCACCTGCAGCAGGTAGAAGAAATGTGTCCGGTGTTCTGGGTACTCTTCAAAATCCTTAAAAAAAAAAAATTAATTTCAAAAGACTCTTCGATAGAACAAACACACAGAATCTGGTTTTAATAATAAATGACAATGGAATATTAAAAATGTATCACAGAATGTTGAGAGATAAGGGCAGCTTACTTTGTTGATCATATTTAATGTGCACTCAAACACTGCATCAAATATCTGTGGGATCTCTCCAGTAATGTGTCCACCCAGTTTGTTTACGATTGTTGCCATGGTACTAAGCACTTCGGGTTCTCTTGCTGCTGGGACATTGCGCTGGTAATCAATGAGCACAGCATCCAACAGCGGAGGAACAAAGTTCTCCCCCACCTGGAGTACGAACAAAATACACACACATGGGCAGACAGGCTTAAAGGATGAGTGGATAAGTGTGTGTTGTGTAAAGACAGCACTAATCTGAACAGGTCCAGACTGACAGATCTGAAGCAGGTATAACAGAATTATCTGCAGAGACACAAATACTGGATCTAACAAACACAAAGACTTGAAACCCGAAAGCCTTGAGCTGCACTTGCTTCCCAGATGAGATGTAATGAGTTGCTTGTGGGTAGTTGTTGCATAATGTCTCAAAATCGAGATTTCAGTTTCAAAATTAGATGAATGTATAAGCAATGTATAAGTGAATATTTTGGATCCTGTTACTTATCCTGTCACAATTTCTAATCAATTTTTCTTGCTGTCACTAGTTAACTTGAGATGTTCTGTGACAAAGATTTAAAAGTAAAAATATGCTGTATGCACAAGTTTTAAATTGTAAAATAAATTCTTCAAATAATGTAAAAAATACTAAATGCTGTTAAAATTATTAAAGTTACTTAAAAATGTATGAGAATGCCATTTAATATTGCAATATTGCAAGATGTCAACTTCTCAAAAGTATTTAATGTCAACTACACATTTAACAGCTTGATTTTCTTTTGTACTTTAAGTACAGAGACTTTGCTTTAATAAATCTGTGATTTGTGTCTCACCATCTGTGGGTCATTGGAGCGGCTGACCCAGCCTGAGATCAGCTTTAGAGTCTCTCTCTTTACTGTGCGCATGCTCCTGATGAGAGGCTGCTTTGTCACCATCTCACCTATATAAAACAGACAACCACAAATCAAATAAACAGACTTGACAGTTCTTGAGTGCAGTCAATTATATAATGTTTAAGCAATACATTGAAGTGTTCAGAGAAAGTCAGACTTTCTCATTAAGAATTTTTTTGGGCAACTATTTAGTTAAACGTCACTCATTCTGTTCTAGATGCAGTGCTATATATAGCTGCCCAGGCAGTCCTGTAATGGACTGCTGTTCACATACGCACATGGCGCTAAGCTCTACAGCAGCCTTTTGTCTTCCTTTGATTACACAAACTCACTTCAGTTTAATGCGGATTTGTCACTCTGAGAAAACCAATGCAGATGCAAATACACACCTAATATACACATGCATAAGGTAATTCTGGAATTAAACTATTTGTCTAAAACATATGCCCATCTGTGATGATAAACTCTGAAACGTACAGAGATTGCCTAAAGAAAAACACGCACCATTAGTTTGGATGGCAGCAGAGATGTTCTCACTGAGGCACTTGTATACATTTAGCATGTCCAGGTAGATCCGGCCCAGCTGAATAACAAAAGGGTGTCCCACGGCTTTACATGCTCTGACGTTGGTCTTCAGGATGCTGCCCAACTGCTTCACTGTCTCCGGGTCCTTCAGGATGTCCACATTCTACAGCAGGATAAAAGCATCCATTTAAGGAAGTCTTAAAAATGGGTTAAAGTTTAAATGAACAAAATTTGCCATTTCTAAATAAATAAATAACACACCTTGGTGGCCTGCTGAATGATGCTGTCCCACACCTGGTTAGGCAACAACATGTACTTCTCTATCAGGTGTTCCTGTACAGCCTGGTCGGTCTGCGCTCCAATCATATAGCCGACAGCTTCGTAAAATGTATGCACCTGAGAACGCACACAAATGGTCACTGCAACATCTCCTCAAAATACATATTTCTAAAGCACAATGTGTCACAATGACACACGCAGCAGGCTAACTGAGATGGATGGGGTTATTTGGTACCTGCTGGGGCTGGAGGTCACAGATGATGGTGTTGATGTTGTTGAGGATCTCATCAATGAAGGGCATCACCTCTCCCACCTGCACCTGCACAAAATGCCTCCTGCACTTCTGAGCAATCTTAATGAAGGTGTCACACGCCATGTCTTGCACTCCATCATGGGTTTCTACGAAGAAAGAACAGTAAAATACTTCTAAGAGAACATGATTACATCAGTTCTTTTATAATCAAGCTAAAATTAGAATCTCAAATGTATATAACCGAGCTGCTCCATAAATGACTAAAATGCAGCACTGCGGTCTATGTGTAATCAAATGTGACATCAAATCTGCTTCTATTTAAAGATCGATCCAAAGATATCACAGCTGTATACAGATGCAAATCCCTGATTCTATTCTAAGGCTCAAAGACTTTGCTACTCACCATGCATGAACTCAAACAATTTGTTGACAACAGTCTTCAGGAATTTCCAGTGTGCACGTAGGAATCGTGGATACTGGCCAACTATGTACATGATGTTGGAGGCAATGATGGCCTTGTTATCCTTGCCTCTCTTCTGCTCACATAGACCCAGCAGGTCCTGTAAAACACATGGACACATTATTATAGTTCTAATATAACATTATAAGACTTTGGATCTTTGCATTTTAAGATTTCTGCACCTTAATGACAGTGACAAGGAACCGCTTTTCATCCTCTTCATGCATGGCTCCACTGATGGAACCAATGGCCCAGCACAATGTGTTCAGGTTCTTCCAGGACCACTCAGTACCGTTCACCTGATTATGAAGCTTTTCTGTCATAATACGCTCGGTATCGGCATAGTCCAGATGGGTAAGATAGACTGCAGAGAGAAAAAATAAGAGAAATTTGATAAACACAGTTTAGTGTCCAAAACCTCTGCATTCATAATATAAAGGAGCAGAGCTCTCACCAAGAGTCTCCCTCATGTTCTTGTAGAGGTTAATGGAGTCTGTATCCTTCATGAACTCTCGAACCACCTCGCCCAGGAATCGTGGATACTGGCCAACTATGTACATGATGTTGGAGGCAATGATGGCCTTGTTATCCTTGCCTCTCTTCTGCTCACATAGACCCAGCAGGTCCTGTAGAACACATGGACACATTATTATAGTTCTAATATAACATTATAAGACTTTGGATCTTTGCATTGTAAGATTTCTGCACCTTAATGACAGTGACAAGGAACCGCTTTTCATCCTCTTCATGCATGGCTCCACTGATGGAACCAATGGCCCAGCACAATGTGTTCAGGTTCTTCCAGGACCACTCAGTACCGTTCACCTGATTATGAAGCTTTTCTGTCATAATACGCTCGGTATCGGCATAGTCCAGATGGGTAAGATAGACTGCAGAGAGAAAAAATAAGAGAAATATGATAAACACAGTTTAGTGTCCAAAACCTCTGCATTCATAATATAAAGGAGCAGAGCTCTCACCAAGAGTCTCCCTCATGTTCTTGTAGAGGTTAATGGAGTCTGTATCCTTCATGAACTCTCGAACCACCTCGCCCTGATCATTCTCCACCACCAGCACTTCCTCTGGCTTGGCCATGCGGCTCACCATCAACAAACGCACCTGCAGGTCAATAACACAAACATCCTTATAGTTCTTAAATTGTCATTTCTTGTCGAGTATTATGTTTGTGAGCCAACCTTAGACAGCACAGGCAGGTAGAGTTGTCTGCGGGGAGGTACATCGAAGTGTTGGCTCCCTGAGAGGAGAGGAGAAGTGGATGTTGAGAAAGGACTCTCTCTGTAAAGCTCAGCTGCTAGGTGGTTCCAGTACTCCAAACAGATCTTAAAGATCTCTGTCTCCTCCACCTCTGACACTAGCAACATGTAATGTAGAGCCTAAACAGAGAAACAAACAGGGCCTTAACACAATAGCATCAATGACTGAGGCAGATTCTCCATAACTATCTGAAGTTTAGTCCGCGAGTGTGTGTACCTCCATAAGCGTCTCTCTGAGGTTCAGTCTCTTTTCTATCAGCTGTCCGTGCTCTTTGAGGAAGGTGCAGAGGAACAGGCTGAGGTTCTGAATGAAGTTTTGCTCATCATCTTTACCATTTGCATACGCCAATCGAATGTTGGTGTTCAAAGGAAGCATCTTCAACACACAAATTAGAAAGAACATCAGACTGGCCCAAAAGCAACTGGTATATAGGAATTGTACTTTGATCTGCACTAGAGAGGAGGTTACCTGTTTGAGCTGCATCATGGTCAGAGTGAAGAGACTGACGAACTGCTCCTCGTACTGGCTGACACTGACTCCTGCTATCTCAGTCAAGCACTTCAGAGTCACGTTGCGAAACATCGGCACATTCAAAAACTACAGATCAACCCAACAGAGGAGAGGGGCCAACAATTAGCCACTGCTTTGTAAGTGTGAAATAAAATCTTTGCAGTTGTTATTGCACGACTATGTAACCGTACTATTTCATTGTATAAATCCATTTATTACACTACTGTCTGAAAGAAAAAGCAAAAGCATTCTACTATATTCGTAGTTTTTCACAAAGTCTCTAAGAGTAAGAAAATCTCAAGATACATTACCTTGTACACTAGAGTACTGATGAGTTTAGTTTCAAAGATATAGCCCAAGGGAATCCAGTTGAGAAACCTCAGCAGAGTCTCTAATGTAGCATGCACGAGTGGGGCATTCTGGGAATTTTCCTGAGAATTGTATGGAAAGAAAAAAAAAACCTTTAGGCCAGTAAAACTCATTGAGTCATTAACATGGATTGTTGTGTATACAAATCAGCATTTGAAGTTAATCATTCAGTCACAAACTAGACCAGCTGGAATATGTATCGAGTAAGTGTGTGTATGTTTAAGAGAGAAAGTCTCTGTACATCTTAACACAGTGGTTCTCAAACTTTTTTACACCAAGTACCACCTCAGAAAATATTTGGCTCTCCAAGTACCACCATAATGACCAACATTAAAATACAGTAGTGTAGTAGGCCTTACTATTCAGTTACAGTTATGCAGTTAAAAAAAACAGGGCAGTTTTATTCCTAATAAGAATATTTATTATTGTCAGCCACTTTAAACATGGTAAATACAGTTTGAACATTAAAACTGTGCTTACATCCAGGTAAATAAAATGAAATGTTTTTCTAAGCATTATTTTTCATAATATTATGGTAGTCCTGCAATTCCATCTGGTAAGGACATAAATATACGGAGACAAAAAATATTACATTCTCTATTGTTTTCCAATGTACACTTTCTCTTTCTGAAAAGAGGCAGAGTATAGCATAAAACAGAAAGCCGGACAGAAACCACAGGAAGACGATAAACAAAATAAGTGCAAGTTCACTGACCTCAACATTGGCTGCATCTGATGATGTCTTGATAATGAGGCCCACGACATACTTTTTAATGCCTGAAATAAAGCAGAGCAGTGAAGAGCCTCAATGCATACAGTAAGGCAGCATAAAACCCCATGAGCTCCCCATCTGGATGAAAGCAGCTAGTCTCAGAGGAATTGTTACTGTCTGTTCATCTGCATCAGCATATTAAAGATTTGCTGCCTTTTTCACATTCAAAGAAACAAAAACAACTTGAAATGAAAATTTAAGTGTTAAATGTTTTAAAGTGAATGATGCAATGAAATGTCTGTTGACTGAATATCAAATACTGCTTAATTTAACAAATTTTTATAAAAATATTTGAACCTGAGAAATTAAAATTTAATTATGAAATTAATGTTATACCATACTATTTGCATTATTTTCTTTAAATAATACCTCGCTTATTCATTTGGCTGGGTGCAGACTGACAGCTCATACAGAGACATGTTTTGGATGTTGTTGAGACATCAATATTGGTTAAGCTGTACGGCACAGAAAGTGTTGATTTATTAGCTATTATAAAAGCTTACATCATGTTTTTCATGTCATGCAATCTTTCAAAGAACAGATTCTGTTTTTCCCCCCCTAAACAGATGAACACTAAGCTGAGCAGACGACCTTCCATGCATTTTTAAAAGGGGAATTCAGCTCAACTTGGCAATTGCACACTTGATTCTAATGAATGTGTTGGCCTGCTAGAAATGTTTTGTAGAGTCAAGTCCATCGCAGAGTGAAATGTTTGCTTCTACATTTCAATGATCCCTTCACTGCATATCCAAATCCAGCCTTTGAGCTGCTTATGACTTAAGAACTGATTTAGACTGAGCTATGAATTACTTGTTCATCTCAATGTGGTGAGGGGAATTCTTGTGAGTCAGTCTTACCTTCACACTGGTTTCTGGGAAGAATCTTCCATCTTGTTTTAATAACTGTTTCCAGAATCTGCAGAGCATAGTACTGTAATGCCAAGAGAACAAATCAAGAGTTAATGAGCCAAACATTGACCAGCCAATCTACCAGAGCTGTAAAGTTACACAACAACAAAAAATTGCTCTTAACTTTGACTGCCTAATATATTTTCACACATTCTTTGGTTTATTCCAAATGAATTCAGATTGGAAACAAACATGCAGATTTGACTTTAGTAAGAATTTTATTATAAACTCAAAAAGAGAACCAAAAAAATTATAATAAATCCATAATCAATGTTTGTATGGGATTCTGTAGAAGTTTTGCTGTTTCTGGCCATGTCACACCAGAATGTGAAAGACAGGAAAGGAGACATTAATGGCAAACAGCTAATGGTTTGATTCTGTGCCTGGCCACAACAAAGCAAGCAGCTCGGGGGAGCGAAGCAACAACTGTGTATGAAAACAAACCAAACCGAAGGATTCTTTTAAGAGTCAATAGCCACTCTCAAGGCTTTAATCATCAGTGATGTTTTCCTGTTGGTCAAATAAAGACCACACCCCTTTCTGTCTTTATGTGACACTACTGTTTCCACCAGTAACTGGTGAGGGTCTCAGGAACAGCAAGACCAGCCACAGGATTGGTTCTATAGACTGCCTTAAGATGTTTTATATACTGCTTTTAAAAGGGTATTCATGGTGCATTAGTGTTCTTGTTATGGTCACTAGTATTATTTGGATTAACAGCATTTCAACTGTAGGGATTAATGAGAAAAGAGGAAAAATGTGATGCTAAAAGTTAACGTGTTAAAGTAAAACAGGGAATACAGGTCACATACTGAGTGAGGATATTAAAGGTGAGGCCTGGAGAAGTAGGTTACTTGCATAAGGACACATTTAACCCTGTAAAAAATCCCCAGGATCCGTTCACCTTTGATTTTATATAGATTAACACATTTACATTTTTTTTATAAATAAAGGCAAAACAGAAAAACATTGCAACACTACGCAAGGCATCAAGTCTTTATAGCTCACATGTGATGTTGCAATATTTCTTGGTGTACGATCGAGACAGGAAAATAGGGTAGGCTAGTGTAGAGGAGAAATGCTTGGGGTAAAAAAAGGGAATCACAGCACACAGAGACACTGATGATCCCTACAGTGGAAATAACTGTTACTATCCATAACTGAGGTTAAAAAAACCAGGATCCGTTCACCTTTGATTTTATATAGATTAACACATTTACATTTTTTTATAAATAAAGGCAAAACAGAAAAACATTGCAACACTACGCAAGGCATCAAGTCTTTATAGCTCACATGTGATGTTGCAATATTTCTTGGTGTACGATCGAGACAGGAAAATAGGGTAGGCTAGTGTAGAGGAGAAATGCTTGGGGTAAAAAAAGGGAATCACAGCACACAGAGACACTGATGATCCCTACAGTGGAAATAACTGTTACTATCCATAACTGAGGTTAAAAAAGGGGGTAAACTGTCTGCCTATCTCCCTGCCGTCTCTGAGCTCCATATGAGGCATGTGCAGTGTGAATGGAGGCACAGCAGAATTGAGAGTAAGGGAATGAAAAGGTAGACCTTGTGGAGGCCTGCCGCCAAAGCCTAGCTGTGTCAAGGTGCACAGGAAGACACACCCCTTTTCGTCCTATTACAAGCAATCAACATAATGGAACATTGTGATTAATATCAAATATGAACAACTTCAATTAATTGTCTTTTGTTAGCTTTTTCTCCTACAAAAAGGCTGTAAATACATTAAGCAAAAGCCAAATGTTCACAAGCGCTTTAATGCGCTCTTTCTGTATTTTGCTTGATGAATTTAGACAAATTCAAATTTACCTGCTCTGTATATTTTCCTGTCTGTTCTTCTAGAGCCCACTTTTGGGCCATTATCATTTTGATATTACAGATACTGTTGATAAACCAACTCAATTAGTATTGACCAGAGTGTTAAGAGCAATCGTAAAAGGCAAGCAGACGGCAAACTGGGTCAGCAGTACTTTGAGGAAGTCTGTTAACACACTGAGGAAGACAATTCATCCCAAATAACACTAAATGATTTACATTCAGTCTACACCCTACAAAGTGAACAAATACACTACGTTGATATTAGGGCTGTGCAATTAATCGCATGTGATTGTCATGCGCATCTCGTCAGTAAAGCCGGTTCCGCGATTGGTAGTAAATCGGCATCACCTGCTTTCAGATGGTGCGGCATTTAATACACAGAGCCGTAGTTCACTAACAAGCTAGGCGATATCGCGTTCATAATCGAATGCAATTCATCTGCGATTAAGAACGCGATATTGCCTAATTGTCAGTGAACTACGGCTCTGCGTAGTGAATGCCACTCAATCGGAAAGCAGGTGATGGAGATTTACTACTAATCACGGGACCGGCTAGATAGAAATCCATGGATAAGAACTTAGATCACATGGATCAGATGTTTTATATATCTTGACTCTAAACAGTCAGTCATTAACACACCTCTGGCTGCTGTACAGATGGAGATGCTGAGGTATTTCACTGTCAACTGAGGATCCTCACACGCCAACTTTAACTATGCTTTGCTTGACCAGGAGAGGATTTAAGGAGAGGTGTAGGAAAATGTGATCTCACATGTGTACAGAGGAATCTGTTTTTGACATGATGCTAGGCAACCCCAATACACTTAAGGAATGGGGTATTGCTGGTTTGAAGGAAAAGAAAACAAAATTGTGTTCCTGTATAATGTGTGAAAAGAGATCAGATCTTCCTCAAAGTATAGAGACCATGATCCTCCACCGGAGAGACTTGTGACTCGGCTTACTTTGGTGTTCATATTCTGAGAGAACTCCAGAATAGTGTCAACACGTGTCCACGCATCTGGGTGCTCCTTCAAATGAGTCAGCACCTCCTGGGCCATTCTTTGCTAAAACAGAGAATAATTTGTCTTAACTTACACTATAAAACAACAACAACAAAAAAAGTGGCTATGTATTAATGATGACAATGCTTACACTAGTGTATGAATACACATATACATACAAGAGAAAGAGTTCTTGTTATTATCAATGTTAAAAAGAGTGCTGCTTGTGCTGCTTAATATTTTTCAGGGTTTCTGCAGGATTTTTAAGCTCAAATTTAAGACCTTTTTAAGACATGCACAAATAAAGTTAATACCATATGAGCGGGCTAGGGCAATGTCTATAGTACCATATTAAACTGCAGGGTAAAAACGTGGGTCGATTTTTGCATTGGTCTGAACTCTGAACAAAACAACGGTTTTATTGAAAATGCTCATTCATTCTCTTACAGCAGGTGGAGCGTTTGGTAGAAATATAACTGTTTCCCCAGTAGCTGCAGTACACAAAGCAGCGCAGCACCGGACTTTGAACGTGCAGTGCTCGTTTATTTAATGAAATCATAGCCTTTTGAAGTTTAATCGTCACATTCAGCCATATCGCAATTCTGGTCTTTCCGTCCCCAAATTTAAGACCTCTTGAAATCATAATTAAGACTTTCTTGTACAATTTAAGACTTTTTAAGGCCTTAAATTTGATACAACTAAATTTAAGACTTCTTAAGACTTTAAGACCCGTGGAAACCCTGATTTTTGTATCAACAGTGATACTTTTTTTTCAGTATTCTGTGAAGTTGAAATCTTTTGTAACGTCTTATTTATTGTCACTTTTGATGAATGTAATTGGTCTTTGTGTTTTTTTTTTTGTAAAAGTCTTACTTACCTGTGGCCCAACCCCATGGTACAGACAGTTGACCACATTATCCAGCAGGTTGATATCCAGTTTCTGGTTAAAGTCCAGCAGCTGTCTGGCTGCATGGTCGGCTAACATTGTCATAATTGCTGGCATAGAGCTCTGTGGGGGACAGGGAGGAAACATCCAGCAGGGGCAAAGTCAAGTGAAATGAACATTTGGGTACACAAATCCAAACAGCTGACCATTACCCCCCTCCCTCGACCCTCGATCCAAAAAGCCTTATATGACCTGGCCTGCCAACTCACCAATGCCTGCTGGAGCATTTAATCCTCAATAACAATGGTATAGGTGGGTGGCGCGATAAAGGTAACATGCTTGCAGAATGAATATCCTAATATGTCCGAGAAACAAGGACCACTCACTGGGCTCGTCATTATTCTCTGAATGAGACCACGTGCTAGGCAGCCCTCTCGCTGACGTCATTCTGTTTACATATAACACAAGAGACGTACCGAGCTATCTGACTTATGAACTGTTTTTTCTACTCGTATCGAACTTTTATAAGACTTCAATAACGTTTACACACAGTTTGAATGACACTCGAAAGGCCAATGTTCAAGTTAATTCAATTTGCACCACGGAGCCAAACTATTGCGTAACGAGGTAAGCATTACGGCCAAGAACCCAGACAAAAAAAGTTTGGCATTGGAGGAAATTTCAAGAATTTGCTTGGACACGACACAGTAAAGCTTTGTGAGACCACGAGTCTCTCAGGCCTAAATAAAGCGACGATGCCATAACTAGTCCTCGGTACTGCGCAACCTGCTGATTTACCCGCCTTTTCCACACCTCACCTGGTTTGATTCAGTAAGCAATGGCCACAATAGGATCTGTATCCCAACACAGAGCTACTTATCAGCTGATTTCATGCACACGTCTTCAAAACACAACTGGGTTGGACTAAGATCCACGCGGAGGAGCGCAACAACTTTCACTACTGATGCGATCGCTGTTCTCTACAGCAGTTGTTTGGCCACGTTTATGCGTTAAAATTCCTAATAATGCATCGCTTAACTTACTGTGGCAACAATTACGCATGCACGCTATCATACTAATGCGCTTAAATGGACAGCAAATGCTTTAGTGCGCAACTGACATTAAAAACGTTCCAGCGAGCGCCTCGTCCGTAACAAACACCGGTGTTTCTCTGGCGGTCTACACCCGTCTCAGATGACTTCAACGAGGGTGACTTTGCAAGGATCTCCCTCCCTGACTCCGGAGCAACCCCTCCCACCAACACCATGCTCTGCACCCTACACCTGAACGCTCTGCAGGCTTTACTAGCAGTAAACCAGGTAAGAAATAGACCGCGTGTATTTTTATTTGCCGTAAATACTTCAAATGAATGCTACAGCTCTGCAATTGTCCTGAATGCATTTTACAGTTGAAATTTGCTTGCTGAAACAACTGGGACCGCGCTAATGGTTGGCGCCTAGTAGCTCGTTTTGTATTTGTGACTGTTTTGATGTTACGTGAGATATAACGATTGTTAAAACGAACAAAAACCCAGATACATTATTTAGTCCAGCGTGACACCAGTGCTGAACACGAGCCATCGCGCAACATCCCTCGTAAACCCTCAGCAGCAAAGCCATTTCACTTTCTCTCGACCTTAACCTCCATACGTGCAGTTTCTAGGCATTTCTACACAATCTCACAGCATTATCATTCTCCACAAAGCACAAACCAACCCAAGCACTCTAGCTGTAAATTTCACCCCATATTTACCTACCTAAAGTCCAAGCCTTTGAGAGAAAGAAGGTGGGCTTGTCTGCCAGAGTTGCTAAAATTATGTTTATTTGATCCAGTATCGTTGGTGCCTGGTTTTTTAACACGCTTTCTGGCAAAAGAGCTTTAGAATGAGCCGTTGACTGGCCAGCCACACTATTCCTCTGTGAAGACTACACAAGCTAGTAGCTTGATTTAAGGACCACTAGGATGTGAATTCCGCACCAACAATCACGGCGAGTTCAGTATTTTCTCAGTCCGGTTCATGTTGCGAAACAAAGTTAACCTTAATTAAGAAGTGTGCTCTGTACTGAAGTATATTTTGCACCAGGGCGGTATTAGAGACTGAGCCTGTGTCTCTTCTTCTCACAAGCAACAAACTCGTAACCGGTTGAAACCGGTTCAGACTGGGAGATTCCATCTCGGTTTAGTTTTCAGCCGGTGGCGCCGCGAAAAGTTTGGATTAACGTCACGCCCATGGAGGTGTGCCATTGGCCGCAGCGTTGCTAAGCGCGTCCTTGCTCGCGATCCATTGGATGGCGCGCACGTCAATCAATCTCAACCCTTTCGAGTGCCCACGCGACTGCTCCGCCCGTTTAGAGAAAAAGAAGGCAAACTGCGTGCAGAACGGACTTGTAATTTGAGATAATATTATGATCGCGTATTATTTGTTTGTTGCTTTTTTAGGGAAATGCAAGTTTCGAATTATGTATTTTGCGCGACTCTTCCGAAAAACGCCCACTTTTTAAAAATTCCGTGTGCTTTAAATATACAGTTTTTTGATATCCAACAACAGCGATCGCTTGGTAATTGTGTACATGTTCGGAAAATTAATTTCACGGTGGACTGAAGGCGATTGAGGGCATCGAGTCCGTGAGGCGGATGTTGGAGCCTGTACTTGTGCTGATTGTAAGCTGGTAATTTTCCACGAGCCACGAAGGGGAGTGGTTGTTCAGAGTCAGGGTATGATACGCATGGCATGGATCAGAGCCTGATACAATTGGCTTGTGATGGTCTCCGTAAACTTAACTATCGCGAAGCTAACTCCAATATGGCAGTGATATATGATAAACACATCGAATCACTCAATAAACATAATAAACCGGCAGTGTGGCACTTCTCAGGGACATCAAACGCTCCCATGTTCCCTGTCTCCTCTCCATTTGCAAGTCACGTGACGCAACGCAACTTAAACGTCAGTTGATGGAAAAATACTGGATTTTGTGTAGTGTCTGTACTGAACAAAGAATGAGGAAAAAGAATACATTGCCCTGAAATCAAGGAGTCATTTATGCTTATGCATTTTTCATAAAACTTACATTTCATAAGGTCATGGTGTGCACTACATGTTGAATATCTGACACAGTATTTCCCTATAGTCAGCATGTGGCTCATTCTACACACCTTTTAAAATGGTTAACAAAATAAGCAGTGTTACAGCAGTTTAGACCAGTAATTTAAATAAATTATATGCTCAGCCTTAACCAACAAACTGATCTCACTTCCAGTGAAGGTGATCCTTTAATCCAAACGCCGGTCTTGAGGTTTATTCTCGAACAGACACTACCATTGCATTTTGTGATTTTAATGGGTCCAGACATAATTTGATAATCAGCTGTTGTTGTGTGAATCAGATCCATATTTACTCCTTTTTTAATCTTTTATTACATGTAGGTCCCACGCCACTGTAAACTTTGGAAGCTGAGATAAGTGAGATGAGGAGTAAATAAATTGTAGGTGTTCATGTTTACCTGACTGCGAGTAAAGTCAGTGCCACAACTGAAGTTTCTAGAATACAGTTCAACCTGCTTTCCAGGAATCACAGGCAAAATTCTCTGAATGCCCAAATTTTTTTTCCGAAAAACAAGATCAATGTTGAATACTGTACTGCAGGTTTTATGATAAAATAATTAGTATTTAATGAACAGAGAGTGGGTGCGTCTTCATATCTTTTAGATAATACTTCACAAATTGTTTCCTGACCAGTATGAGCTGAATAATGTGTTTTTGTTTTGTTAAAATGTTTTTGCACAGGTCATAATTTGAGAGACATGTTTGTGAGAGTTGAAACCCCCATATTAAACATTGGAACTGCTTTAAAACGGCAATCAGAAATGTGCTCTTATTTTAGGCTATGACTTCACTTTGTGTAACAGAAAACTCGACATTGTCCTTTCTTTGTTGTCTGTTTTGAATTATTTTGAGAGATACAATAAACCATTGAAACTTATCTGGACGTCTGGCTTTGTTTATTGCATTGTCCGGATCATGCATATTTACTAAGGGACCGAATGTATATTTGTTGACACTTGCAAAACCTTACGTTTCCTCTATTAAAGTATGTCATTAATCAACAAATTCAGAGGGTCTGAAAGTTAATAGGGTCACAGGGATGGCCGAAAGAGGTCATCTTGCTGAAGTGAGCAGTAGGAGGGGTAGAGGAGAGAAGCAGTGCACGTGCATTGTGGCACATACATGTGAAATGAGGTGGGCTGCTCAGTTCAGGATTGGGCTGTCTTAAAGGGATAGTTCACCCTAAAATTAAAATTTGATGTTTATCTGCTTACCCCCAGGGCATCCAAAATGTAGGTTACTTAGTTTCTTCAGTAGAACACAAACAGAGATTTTTAACTCCAGCCGTTGCAGTCTATCAGTCGTATAATGCATGGCAATGGTAACAAAATCTATGAGAGTAAAAAAAACATGCACAGACAAATCCAAATTAAACCCTGCGGCTCGTGACGACACATTGATGTCCTAAGACACGAAATGATCAGTTTGTGCGAGAAACCGAACAGTATTTCTATCATATTTTACCTCTAATACACCACTATGTCCAACTGCTTTGAGTGCGCGCACGGCATCCGGTGCGTGAGGTGTGTATAATTACTAGTTATAAATACAATTATAGAGCTCTAATTCAGTTCTTACTAGTAACAATTATGATTATAGAGCTCTCTAATTCAGTTCTTACTAGTAAAAATGCAATTACAGAGCTCTCTAATTAAATTCTTACAAGTAAGAAATCTAGTTACAGAGCTCTACAATTGTATTCTTACTAGTAAAAACTTGTATTCATTAGATGCAAAACAGATTTGCGACTACACCCATTTGCCCATACACATCAAAATAAAAATGTGTTTTAAAATGTATTTATTTCTTTCTCTCTTTTTTTTTTTTTTTTGGTCAGACATTAGGGGGGAAAAAATTCAATTGCGACATTATTTATTATAAGCTAAAACGGCTTGCCATACTGACCTTCTTGAGAGAGGTGAACTTTATGACAACACAGACAATGAGGGAGGCCTCACTGCACAATAAGTTTGGCTTCAAGTGGATAATGTTAGATACAAACAGCTCCCTCTAGCGACAATAGTACAAACCAAAATACTAGTAATAAATTATATTACCTTGATCTAGAAATGATTTTGTGGCTTTCCTCTATGCATGTGATTGATAACTAACCGGTGAAGTAATGTTTATAATTTCAACAAATAGTTTATAGTGACAATGTGATATATTTAGCTTTAAAGAAATACACCATTTTATGTGTATTTTAGGAATAGGGAGATGTACATTTCATCCAAAATGGTTAGCATAGTGCTTTCGTTCTTTAAAGAAAACAAATCCATGCCATTCTATACAATTGCACAACACCAGTGCCAACAAAGCATTTGTTACAAATAAATAACAATAGACAAAAGAGCATTGAATGATGAGGAGGATATGACCTTTGACCAAGTACTGAGGGAATGAGGGCAGCTACTGTCCGTCCACCTTTACCCTCGCTCTGCTGAATCGCTGCTCTTTCTGTTCCTTAACCAATCTGATTAGCTCAGATTCCTGTCACCTCTAGAATTTTTATTACAGCTTGACATTTTCCATCTGGATGCTTAAAAGTAAATTAAGAATCTCCATGACACACTGAAAATGTGCACAACTATGATGATAATAATAAAGAATGTTTCTTGAGCACCAAATCAGCATATCAGAATGGTTTCTGAAGGATAACGTGACACTGAAGACTCAAGTAATGTAAAAATTCACCTATACATCACAGGAATAAATGACTGTATTTTCAATCAAATAAATGCAGCCTTGTAGACTCATAAACATTTTAACGTTCCAAACTTTTGAACGGTAGTGTACATATAACTTGTTTTTTTTAAAGTGTTGAAAACATGGATGGAAATAAACTGGTAGTTTAATAATAAAATGGCAAGTAAAGAAAATCCAGCAATAATTGTTTTGAGTCAGAGTATTATTTAGAACTGCTTGGTCTGCTTCCTCAGAACTGTCAACTTTTCAGAGTAAGAGAGAGACGACTCTTGGAAAGAGAGATATCTGTTGAATGGTGGGGGTTATGATGGATCTATTTCCCACCAGCAGAGGGAATTAACACATGATCGTTTGTGTTCTTGGCTGGCAGGTGGCCTAGTACTGCAACCCAACCTGCCCGAGCTCAATCAAAAACCAACTGTCACCAAAAAAAGGCAGACCAGCTCATCAAAGCTCCACCGCCTCCCCCCACACATGCAGAACATTCTACTTCCTTTCCTGTTGTCATGGTGACAGTTGTGCTGGAAATCCTCCTCAATGATATGGCTGACTGATCACTAATACCTTGCTTTTTTTAAACGCATGCCCCCGGTTTCACAGACAAGGCTTAAGCATCGTCTCAGTCTAAAATGCATGTCTGGGATGTTTTAACTGAAAGAAACTTATTGATTCTCAAGATGCTCACCAGTAATGTTTTTTTCAAAGGTACATTTTTAAAAGATACTTAAATGTCCTAATTGAACTGTGGCCTAATCCTGGCTTAACCTAAGTCCTGTCTGTGAAACCAGACCATGAAGTAATTGTGTGAAAAAGGACTGTGTATTTACAGACTTAAATTTTCCAAATCAAAGGCCAAGAAATAACTCATTTGTAACTTGTAACTTAAAATAATTCTACAGCAGTAAAAAAAAAGACACAGGTTTATTTAAAATGATTTTTATTCTACTGATTCTGTATTCTACCCCACGTCACATTGGTCCAAATGGCACAGTTGTGATAGTTTCAGTGCAACATAATCATGGACCTCATAGGTATTAGTCGTCAGCATGACTCTTTATCCAGTGGCTTCTTTGTGTATTATACAGGTTTGAGTCATTGCATTAAGACGACTTAAAGTGCAGGGTCAGTACCACAGAGATGAGCTTTGTCTGGTCACCTGAGTCCACTAGAATGAAGCAGGGACATTACAACACACTGCAGCTGGGATAAATCCTGAGCTAGACATGAGATGAGATAAAGGAAAAAGGTGCAAAATAAACTTAAATGGTACTAGTGGAACACAGATTTTTTTTAGTGGGTGCAACCAATTCATTAGCAACCAAAAGCATGTATTGTTTACAGTGCAACTGATTTTATTAGGTCCATTGTTTATATTCTATAGCTACAGTTATGACATCAGTGAACACACCAGCAATCCATTCTTCTCCCGGGATTGTGATGGAAAAGACTCTAATGCGATTCCTGCTGTAACTGGACGGAGTTTGGAGGAGGGGGTGAGGAGTGGAGCAAAGGATGGACGAAGAGAGTGATTGGTTCTTCTGCCTCGTCAAACCTCGTTTACTCCTCCGTTTCAAAAACTCATCCACTTATTTCCACATTTTCTCTAATGTCTCATTCGGAAGTGTAGAAATCCCTTTTTAATCACATGAGAAAGCATTACAATACAGTGATTAAAAGAATCTACAACTGAGATTAATAACAGTCTTTGGAATTAGATCAATTAAAACTGCAAACAAGTACATTAAATAAAAACAGTAAAGCAATACTACAGTATATAAACTGTAGACTTTGGTCTTCAATGAAAGCTATTGTATTGTAAAGTGATAGTTCACCCCGAAATTTAAATGCTGTCATCATTTACCCACCCTCATGTCATTTCAAACTTATGAATTATTTCTTTGGTAAAACACCAAAGAACAAAAAAAGATTTTTTCAACTGTTTTTGTCAGTACAACTAAAGGGGGTTCAAAACAACATAATCTTTTGATTTCCAAAGAAGAAAGAACAACATGGGAGTTTTTCATTTTTGGGTGAACTATCCCTTAAAATTTGCCACATAATTCTTCTACAGAAAACAGCAAGTCTTGGAATCACTCACATGAACGGGGTTGAGTCTCGAGATGGTGCCTTTAAAACAACAGGATAGGACAAATGAATAGAGAAAAGTGACATACACAAGCACAGATGAATTTGTGAAATGCGCAAATGAATATGTTAAACTCACCTTTTCTCCAGATTTCTCCTTACGCTGGAAACTGGGGGAAGACACTTGTCTTTTCAAAGGTTTTCCAGATTTTCTTGCCTTCTTTGCAGCTATTTACACAAAGTCACAAACCCAGCTTTAAGGTCAGTCTCGTTGAAATTGTATCTGACTGCCACCTTTTGACCGTAATGAGGTACTGCATATCAAAGATTATCTGGTGATTTTTTACCAGTGTGTAACATTTTAATCCACCTTGTTTTTTTGATGTGTCTTCTTCATCCCCGATCTCATCCTCTGTGACCTCTGACCCTGTAGTGTACTCCTCATCTTCAGACAGCGGAGACTGCTGCCACTGCAAAAGGTCAAAGCAACATCTGAGATGTGTTTTTCAGTGTAGGTATATATTAGGGTCAACTTTATTATCCCTATTATTTATTATTAATTGTTTCACAGCCAGCAATAAACCATACAAGCAACAAAACAAGCACACACACCATCACAACAATGGATTAGAGCATAAAACATGACACTAGGCAAAGCATCACGCTAATCAAACATGGCATGCAACAGAGAACCAATCATGTTTTTTTCTGAAGAAAGTTACTATAGTCTGACCTCTCTGGCACACACATAGCCTCTCTGTGTAGAAGCAGGTCATTGAGTATTCTGGTCTGGGTTGAGTTTACATTGTGATCGCCGCAGTCACCACCATCTGCCGCACTCACAATGTGGTCTCTTATTTTACAGCCCTACACAGACATACACAGGCATTCATGGTGCAAAGTCAGACAAGTTCAAAGGTCATCTGAGTTTAAGAAAACATATTCTAATGCAATAACATAAACCTTGGGCATGGAGGAGGGATCAAATCTTAGGACTTTCTGGTTGCAGCAGGGGT